CTTTGCTCTGGGGGACACAATGCCTAAAAAAACACAAGATTTTTTTGAAATGCCTGTGTGTCTGAGAATGAGTTAGTACTCTTGGATTATCTTCTTGACCTTCCCTTTCCAACTTCTGTATAATTTCATAGAAGTGCTTTTGATTGTCCTGTATTTGTTGTTCCTTATCAAAACCAGTGTCCATGAGTCAGAAAGGGTTTATAGCATCTTCTTATCACACAGCAGGTCTCAAGACACCTCAGTAAAAGTACTGTCAGGTACTACAAAGATCTCTGGCTTTTTGTAACAGGTGAAAAAGGGAGGGAGTGCCAGTGATACAGCTCCTCTGCCTTGCACTTGCCTGCCATCACTGGCATGACTGCATTGGAGTACAAGCAATGTAAAGCACCACGAAGGACTTACCATCTTTCAGGGCTGAAGGGAAGGGAGAGAGAACTATGCTTTTTACACTGCAGAGCTTTTCTCAGTGTTCCCTTTGGTCTCTTTAGGAAAGTTCAGTGTGTCTCTGAGGCTCCCACCCTAGTCATAGCAGTACCCTGCAAGCTATTACCCGCTCTGACCTTGCCTGGCTAGCTGGTGGCAAAAGGCATATTTTCTGAATACTCCTATCTTGTAAAACACACAAGGTCTTAAAAGCTTGAAAAGAGATTAGCTAAAGCAGAACCCTAAATCCTGAAGCCCTGGAAAAAGGCTCACTGAAGCATTTGGATCAGCAGTGGCTGGGGACGTCTTTTACTGTGTGAGATAGAAAGGACAGTGAAGGTGAGAACAGCAGCATGGAGTGGAGCTGCAGTGGCCAGGAGGGAGGAACAGCAAGTGTATATCCCTAATTTATAATACAAGCAGGAAAAAAAATTATGAAGAAGGAGATTTTTATTAGTCCTACATCTCCACCCTGCATTTCTGCAAGCCTGAATTGAAGGGATGAGATTGTACTGTTTTGAGCACTATTACTGACTACCTATTCTCACAAAATTGGAAGAAATAAAGTAAAATCCTACTTCAATGAATTTCAGGGTTGGGTTTGCAAGCTAAATCCCTGGAGCCAGGATTTCGCTGGATGGTTGGACCCAGAAAGCCAACAGTAGTGAATAAACCAACAGCAAGTGTTTCCTCTTAATTATCTCTTTCTTTGCCTCAAGTTTTGGGCCAGTTCTGAAGGTTGTTTAAACAATATAAGCACCTATCAAAGTGGACAGGCATCATTCCTCAGAAAGCTTTCAGGGAAACATCTCTAGGATAGTTAGCTGGGAAAAGCATTGTACTGGTTTCTTGAGGCAGGGCTGAGAAGCAGCAACAGAATGGATGAAGGAGTCAATGGCTAAGTAATCAGAGCTGGGAGGTTGAACCTTGCAGTCAGCTTATATCAGAGACTAACAGATGCCAGCTTTGCCAGGAAATGAGATATCTGAGCTGAAAGGCAAGTGTCCCAGGATTTAGTTCAGACCATCTTTCCCTCGTGTGACACTGCCCACAGAAACACATGTGCTGAAACCACAGGCAGTTAAGTGGGATCAGAAAGACACTAGGCTATGCAGGAAGAGACCACAAAATATCTCCAGTGAAGAGAGGAGTGCAAAATCTGAAGTTTCACAGAGAAGCCTGTGAAATTTCTTTGCTCCTCTTATCATTCCCTCCTGAGGAGAACTGCTCTTGCTCCTACCCTATGAAAGAAGATCTGACATGCACAGAAAACTTATGCCAGTGTCCTGTAGAAATGGGCCTTCAACAAAATTCAGGTTGCCCAAAGGCATGGGGTCTGCACACTATACTTTTCTTGACAGTGAGCCTGGCCCAAAATTCCAGATTTAAAACATTATCTGAGAGTGGATGGACACACTTTGAAATTCCAAGGAGTTTTGCTTCTGGGGTTGAGATGAGCACATCTCAGTGTGCTGCTGGTAGCACCAAGAGAGATGATGAAGAGAAAGGCACAACACTTATGGCCCTTGTCAGGTTGTGGGAGCATCTGCTTCAGTCCCAGCTCTGCTATTCCCCAGGGGAAAAAACCAAAGCAGTTCTGCTCAGATTCAAGTGTTTAACTGCTGCTCTGAACATCCCAAAACACATGAATACAGGATCTTAGACCTGTATTGGCAGGACTGCAAAGAGAACATCTGCTTTGACTAAAGTTTATTGGAATTAAGAATTTCAGGTGATTGAGGCAGTTGTTCTGACTTTGTGGAATTCACCATTACTTCTGCCTTGGTGAACAAGGTGTCTTGAATTTCATATAGATGCAGCTAGAGCTAGAAGACCACAGAAATTTAGTTCTAGATTTAGTTCTAGCAGCCCTACTGAGGTTCTGAGTGGAGACACAAAGAGATGGACTCTCTGGTGACCATGACACCCAAGGCTGGTCTGATGGAAGAATTCCCTTTGATGCAGAGGTGAAGCCTAAAAATCACAAATATCTGCTACTCATGCTACTCAAGCAGATAAATGAGATTCGTGTGGGGCTAACGAAACAACAATTTTTGTGAACAAGAAGCATTTTTCCCCATTTTTGATAGGAAAAAAAAAAGAGGAGAAAATGAAAATTGGATTGTATCTATTTTTAGGCAGATTAAAAAGTTATTCAGACTAGAGAAAAAGTGCATCAAAAATAGCTTGAGCAATATCAAAGTGGAGCAATTGCTGAAGATCTACAAGAATAAAGGAGGTCAGGAGCCTCAGAAGCCAATTTTTGAAGTAGCTGCGAACGTTTCATTTTCACACCCTGTCTAATGTGCTCCTGCTTTAAAACACATTGTGACACCAGTGAAGCCTGCTCCTGCACCCCAGATCCATGGGAATCCTTCAAAGGCAAGCAACTAGTCTAATGTATGCCTAATCATCCCACAAACTTGGTTTTGTGTTTTACATCCTAAACACTCAGCATAAACCTAACCAGCCACTGCCACCCACAGTGACACAAGACTTGTGTCTCCCACTAAAAGCAATTCAGACTTACCTCTCCCTCTAAAAATGACTGCCCCTCAAGTCTGCATCTAAGAAATGTATTTTGGAGGCTTGTCTTGCTTTGTCTTTTACCCATATTCCTCAGGCTTTGTCATTAGGACTTTAATTTGACAGCAAATGTTGAACTTCTGAAAAGGCTTTGGAAATAACAGATCAGAAACAGGCAGATTTGGAAGCTATTACCCAGAGGGTTTTGGTCAATATGTTTTGAGCTGTTCAGGTGGGAAGTGAAAGCTGACATAGAAGTGAAAGGATGTGTGGTCCTAAGTCACCCAGGAGATGTGTTTAATCTGCCCAGGAAAGTGTTCTAGTCACTGTCCCTGGGGGTATTTAAAAGACATGTAGATGTGATGCTTAGGGACATGGTTTAGTGATGGACTTGGCAGTATTTGATTAATGGCTGGACTCAATGATGTTCAGAGTATTTTACAACCTAAATGATTCTATGATTCCGTAATTGCTAAATAATGCTCACCTTTTACCCCAAATGTTGAAACAATCCCAGACGTACAATAAAAAGGAAACAACTGCATTAAGAAGGGATATTGTCTCTTCCCTGGTGTGGATGGAGCAAAGCTGTGATGGAGCAGCATGCAAGGAAAAGACCTGATAAGGCCACTTGTCTGCACATCATTTTGGCAGGGGGAAGGGAGCCGTGCCCCCTGTCAAGCTCTTCTCTGCCAGCCCTTCAGCAGGCCTTTTCCAGTGGATCCATGCCAGCCCCAGGGCTGGCTTGTGGCCAGCTGGCCTGCCTCCACCTGCCTGTTGCTGCCAGTCATGGGTCAGAGGTGACACTGTGGTCAGAGGAGGGAGAGCTGAGGGACTGTGCCTCTGAACCGCTCTCCCCCAGCAGCGCTGTGCAGGTGATACAGCAAAGCAGCAGCTGGTGCTCAGCTCCCACAGAAGGAGGAACTGGCCACCATCCCTGGGACATGAAGAAGGAGGAATATGCAGACAGCTTGCTGGGAAATGCAAGAGGGTTGTGTGAAAAACCTGCTCCAGTCCAGCAGGCAGGCCCCAGAAAGGGTGGCTGGCGGTGATGGTGCCATCCGACCATCCTCTTGAGGAGAGTCCTGCCTCCTGCCCCAAGACACTGTGTCCCACCCGTCAGCCCCCTTAGCACAATAAGGTTTAACCACTCGCCAGCAATGCATGTGGCTTGGGAACTGCTGTGAAAACAGGAGGCTGCAACATAAGCTTCCCTCTGCTTTTGGATTGCAGGTCCAAGGGCCAGCAATTCTCCTGCTGCCCCACAGGCAGAAAATGTGCTTCAGAAAGCACCTTGAATGTCAGCTAGCAGCTCCAAATGGTTCTCCAGGCAGGAGAGAGAAGTCCCAGGAGTGTTCACCTCCTTTGCTGCTGAGGAAACAGGACTTTTCCTCTAGTGGTGCAGATGAGGCTCTGAAACTGTTTAACCTGAGATCTGTTATCAAAAGCCTAATCACTGTGATGCCCAAAGGGATATAAAGAGAGATACCCTTATTATAAATTGCAGTAAATACCTTCTATTTTTGTCAATTCCTAGTAGGACAGCCTATGTCTTGATTCCCTGTGCAAGTGAAGTCTGTCCCTTCTCAAACCCTGCCTGCATATTCCCAGGACTGACATCTTCCACTCCCTCCCTCTTGCCCACTCTCTCTCAGATGATGCAGAGTGCCAGCAAGTCCCTCAATGGTGTCATATCTGTCCTTTTTATTCATTGCAGGGTTTATTTTTAGCCTGAAACAACTGCTTCCTAAAAATGGAGTTCCTAATGACACGGGAGCTGGACACAGCTATGTAAGGTATCCAGGGCTTGGCCTGACAGCTTCTCCCGTCTGTCTCTCTCTTTGTTGTGAGTACAGGACAGCAAAGTTTGCTGCTCCCCACCAGCCTTGCAGTGTTTGGGCTCAACTCTAGGAAAGCAGCAGAGAGAAACTTAGAGAAATTAAGAGAAACTTAGTTCAAACTTTACCTGGAGTCTTTGGTCTCCCTCTCTTCTCAAATCAAGAAAGAGGGGGACATTTACCCACCCTTTGCTGCACTCCAAGGGTGCCCCTATGAAGGCAATTTGCTGGATCCTGGCAGGTTTTTACCTGCTTTTCTGCTGCAAGGCAGAAGAGGGACTGAACTTCCCTACTTATGATGGGAAAGACCGAGTGATCGACCTGAACGAGAAGAATTACAAGCAGGCACTGAAGAAGTATGACATGCTCTGCCTGCTCTTCCACGAGCCTGTGAGCTCTGACAAGGTCTCCCAGAAGCAGTTCCAGATGACAGAGATGGTGCTGGAGGTAAGTGCCGCTGCATGTCCCAGTCGGGGTCAGTACACAGCACTGCTCAGAGTCATGGAGAGGAGCCACAGGACAGGAGAGGCAAATGGTCTCGTGCAGGGGAGGTTGGGCATCCAAAAGTTTGTTTAGTTGGATTTCAGTTAGCCCCTGCCTGAATTCTGCAAAGCCCAGGAAAAAGCCTCTTTTGTGCTCTTCTCAGTTTGCTGGGAAATAGCTTTTCTGGATTGTCTGTCAGAAACTCGGGCAATAGCAAGTAACCTTGCGAACCTCAGAAACATGAACTCAGCTCAGCTCAGCTTTCCCAAATCTCAGCACCTGAATCCGTAGCTTGAAATTTTTTGATCCTTTCTCATTCTGTGCAAGCCAGTTTCCCACTTGTATTCTGGATTGAGTCCCATTTTTTATCCCACTAGCAGCAGTCAGCCAAGAAACCTTATCAAGCTGTGCAGCAAATGGGTGTCCTAGCTCCCCATCTCAAAAGCTCCCTGCTGGTGCAGCAGCATTAAATCCCTTTTTGTTTTTTGACACTTGGTTGCCTGCTTGGAATCAGTCTATAGCTGCTTGTTAATGCAACCATTCTCTTCTGTGCTGGAAAAAGAGTGTTGTTAATTCTTTCATGAACGAATGATTCATTAATCCTCAGTAAAATAAATCATGGCAAAAGTGACAATGTAGGTTTGTAGCATTCTTTCTTGTATTATAGCTGTAATCCAGGGAATCACACAGCTGCAAACCTTGATTGTTAGGTGCATATTTCTTACCAGGAGCTTGCAAATATTCCCTCTTAACTAAAAGACATATTTGAAAAGAAAGTGAATTCAGAATTGCAGAAGAAACACTTCAGCTTTATTTGTCAGATCCAGAGAGGAAATGCATTTCACCCCTGAGAGTGTAGGAAATGGGAATAAGAAAATATGCTTGCTGAGGGATAGGACCCAAAAAAGTTCAGTGTCAAGTTCAAGGTCTGCTGACCTCCTCAGCAAGCCTGATGACTGCCAGAAAGAAAGGTCCAAAAACTAACCAGATTTTACTCACCTGTCAGGAAATGGTTACTTTCTGCAGGTGAGCGATCAAAATAACATTTGGCAAAGAAAAGAAAAAAGTAATGCTTGAACTCCAGCTGAAATGAGTATTGTTGGTAATATAATTACATTGTTGTTTAGCAGGATAGCTATTTTGTGCTTGATAGGTGTCAAACAGTTTCTAGATACATATTTATAGAAACCTGACAGAAGCATGTCCCATCCCTGGAAATGTTCAAGGCCATGTTGAATGGAGTACTGGGCAACCTGGCATAGTGGAAGGCATCCCTGTCCATGGCAGTGGCTTTGAACTAGATTATGTTTAAGATCCCTTCCAACCAGGCCATTCCATGTTTCCATGGCTCTATGGTCTGATGTGTACCATCAGTTTGAGTCCCTATGACACCATCACCCATGCTATCAAGGGTGCGACAGCTGCAATATAATCTGGCCTTAAGCTTTTATTTTTCAGGGTTGGATTCGGCCATGAGTACATTAGCTTAGGATTCTGGTGATTTATTTGGTTTCCAATTGCTCACTACTATGGACTTCTTATGTGACCTTGGGCAAGAGACTGAGGGTTAGACCTGCAGCAGCCTTTACATAATTGTAGTCCTCCAGTCCCCTAGAGCTCAGCTTCCAGCTAACAGTGCCACACATCAACTGGCACTTGTGGCTTTGACCTCAAAATTTCCAAAGCACTTGCAGTGCTGATTCAGTGCATGTATCACAGTTTCAGATCAGTCCCTCCCCTGGACTGGGAACTGCAGCAGCAGCAATCTGACAGCCCAAGCACAAGAGAAATCTGCAGACTGAGCACTTCTTTGCTTCTGTCACCCAGAGGGAATCAGAAGGGGAGAGGGTCTCAGAATGCAACAAAGATATGTTCTATTCTACATAGGACACAGGCCAAAACGGTGCTACAGTTCCCAATTTCTGTACTAATTTAACCATGGGAGCACTCTGAGTGGGCAAGCCAGGTTGTAATCTGCTCCTTCTTGTGAAAGCATTCAACTCCCTCAATTCAAGCCATAATATGTTGGACCATAGGGGGTCACTCTTAATTTTCCCTGTCAGAGCTCATTCAGCTGCTGGACTTCACTGCATGTTCACCAGCATAGGGAGAAGGAAAGAAATGTCTGCAGTGGCTCCTTGACTGAGATGTGGAGCTGTTTGCCTGTGAGATGAACTGCCTGGGATCATTATTCCTGGAAGCAGTCAGCAGCTGAACCCAGGTCTCTTGTAATTTGAGCAAGCCTTAGAGTAGTGAGCTGCTCTGTAGGCACAGGAGCACTGACAGGGCTCTCCTTGCAGCCAAACCTGAGAAAAGTTCACTCAGGAAGGTTTTACATATCTAATTTCAGTAGAGGGGTCAGGACTTGGAGTGCTGAAGGTCCTTTATACCTGACATGAAGTATCTAAGAGGTAAATACTCCAGCCCTCACTATTCCCTGCCAGCTGTCTTGGGAGGTTCCCAGCACAGGTGCTACCTGTGATAAGATGCTCCTTTCTAGAGCACCTCATGTTTTTCCATCTAACTTTACTGACAATTTTCCTGATGTTTCACATTGAGACATGCTGCATTCACAGCCTGGCAATACAGTGTGGTTTTAGCCCCCTTCCATACAAGTCATCAGATTCCATCCTTAGGAAAAAAGTGAGCCTCCATCCAACACACAGGCAGGTGTGGAGCAAACAAAGGTCTGAGCTGGTGGTTAAGGGCTGTTACATCAGATTATCTCATGGACATGCATGGCTGGGAACATGGGCTTAAAGAATTTAAGTCCAGAAAACCCCCAAATAGTCCATCCTTTCTGCTTCTCTCACATGTGCCTTATTAGAAATGTACAATTCCGAAGGTCAAAGGCATGAAGAATTGCGTTAGACACCAAAGAAAAGAGCAAGAGGGATCCACCATGGCTTCCTTGAAATATGTAGCTCATCAGTAACAAGCTCTGACTGGGGCCTCTCCCAGGAGTGAAGAACACGAGGCTCTCTCTTAAATGGGTCCTTTGAAATTCCATGGGGGCTCAGAGCGCTCATATGGCAACATTTCCTTCTTTCAGGGCACTTCAGCCTTTTCTCTTCCAAGTCTTTGCTCTTCATAAAACTTGCAATAGCTTCATTATGTTTGAGATCACTCACTCTGGAAAATTTGGTTTAAAAGGGCCAACAGGTAGAAAGCTTATTAGGGAAGGCAGCTGATAGACGGGGGAGAGAGAAGAGAATCACAAGGCTCTCATTTACTTAGGAAATCAAGCTGACAACATGATAGCACATAAATAAAGTTAAGCACTTATTTAAGGACTTTACTAAACCAGAACTATGTACAGCAGACCAAGAAGTGATATAATAAGAAAAATTTCCTTCCGAGAGAAGCATGTAGGACTGACTGACACTGTTGAAAGCTGAGGATGCACACCCACTGTCACCAGAAAAGGGATGATGTCATCAAGCTGATATTGCATTTGGCTCCTCTGTATCCAGGTATACTGGATCAACAAATTCCCACACAGCCCAGGGTCACTTTCCAGTTTAGAAGGGGAATGAAGATGATGATCATTATGAAGTGGTCCTAACAGCTCTTACCACCTACACTGCTGGGTGCCACCTGGTCACAACAGGCTTCAGGGACAGCCAAACCCCTCTGACAGCAAAAGAAGCTCTTTGGACCATCGTTAGTTCATGACAACAGCTCCAGGGGTGACAGTGCCTGCCCCTCAAGTCTAGATTGGGAAGATGGAGGCTGTTGGGTTGGTCTGTCAGGAAAAATAGCCAAAGGACTGATTTGAGATGCCTACTGCTTTCTGGCTAGGATGGAAAAGAGTTGGGGAAGGATTGTTCTAAGACAACCCTGGGCAGAGATATCATGAGCACAGGCTGTTTCACAGCTCAGGTTAAAGGGTACCTTTCCTTTGTGCACCTTTCTCCTATGACTCCACTCTCCACCACTGGCTACTGGAAAGCACCTGCACCTTGAGTAGGGACAAGCCTCCATACAGGGCAATGCAGAGTTTGATCCAAGCAGTCCCAGAGATAACAGTAGCCATTCCTATCCTGTGGTGATGTTTGCAAGAGCTCTGCGCACTCCATGAGGTGAGCACAGTGAAGAAAATGAAACAGCCAAGCAATCACAATAATTGTTTAACAGACAAGTAAAAGAAAAAGCTACTTGTCCAAAATGGTCTCAACTTTCATAAAGAAGGGTTAAGAGGGGAAAAGATCAAAGCAGTGAACCTGAGAAATACCTGTTCTGCTTTTTTTCTCCTCTCTATCTCCTCTACCATGTTTCACCCTGTCTCCTACCATCACTTCTAAGACCTCTCCCTTCTCATCTCTGAATGTCCTAAATAGGGAGTTTGGCCTTCCAGTGGGCCAGCCCCTGTCTCTAGGAATCATGTAGCAAGAATAAATGAGCATTGGTGTTAGGGGCTTTCCTTTTGCACTTGAGAAGCTCTCTCCAGCAGCTGAGGGTTTCTCACTATCATAGCAGGCTGCCTGTGATGCACTCTGGTATCCTCTTTCTGCTGAAACTCCCTCAGTCCCAGCTCCCCTGCCATTCTTCCCTTGCCATCTCTATGCATGTGTAATATCCTTAAAAAAGAGAGGCTCATCAAGCCCAGATATTTTAGTCCCTTCAATGAAACAGTGCCCCTGGACTGAAAGTTCATGGAGAACTGGCCTAGCACAAGCCAGTCTGATAAGAGGAAAGAGAAGAGGGATGTGGTACTCCCCTCTCCAGATGAGGCCTAGGATCAGTCCAGCCTCTAGCAATAAATGGCAGAAACTCCTGAACATATTTGGCCAATTCTGTAACACATGGAAACACAGCCAGTATCTCCCTGTGGTGTGAGAGGGAAAGAAGGATTTTGAGTCCACTAAAAGGCAAGGACTAAACTGTGTGTAAGCTCTACCTTCTAATTCATTTATTTCCAAGTGCTGAAACTACTGCAGCTTCCAGCTTAGGATGGAAAAAGT